TACTAACGCAGCTTTTCTCCACATTTTTTTCGTATCCTTTCTTTTTCTTTATTTAGTTTTTTTTTTTTTTTTTTTTTTTTTTTTTTTTTTTTTATTCTCTCTTTTCGCTTTTCTCTTTTCGAGTCGCATTCGTCGTTTTCTTTTCTCTTTTCGGCGTTTTCGTCCGCCTATCGATTCGACAGGAAATATTTCGATGTAATTCTTCTTCGTAAAGGCCGAGTTCTTCTCTCGGCACAATCATCGAATCTTGACAAAACAGTTTCGCGCATAAGTCGCAACTTTAACTCTTTGCACTTGTTCCTACGTCATTCGTGCAAAATAGCTCTATTCATAATTTTCCTGGAACACATCTTTCCAACAAAAAACTAGCTGTTGCAACACGTATAAATAATTTATGTTTTTCTCTACGAGTCAATCGGATATGTTTCTCTCGCTTGTTATTTTTGTTAGACTTGCAAAAAAATATTAAATGATATAATCTTCAAAATTATCTCTCTATCTTTTTCAATAATATTTTCTCATCTTTTCTTTTTTCTTCCGCCTGTTTTAATGTTTATCACAAATTTTTAAGTAAAGTATAATAAATATATATTTATATAAATTTATTCTTTGCGCGGTTTGTATGTTTATCCTTTTTCAAAACGCAGAGAATTTTAATACGAAAGACACAAAACACTCTGACTATATAAAAACGAGAAGCAATTAAATTATACATCGCCTCGCGGAGAACAAATACATTTACAAGCCAATATTATTTTACTTTTACGAAAGACCATTGTAAAAACGCAAAGAGTTAAAGAACGAAAAGTTGAAACTCTGCATTTTCCGTCTATGAAGTAGAATTATATTTTTCTTTCTCACGCGAGCCCAGTCGACATTCTTCCCTCCGCTCGCTGCGCTATCGCGAACTTCGACGCTGTGTTGAATAATTCTCGCGTGCTGCACAACAATCGCAGTACAATACAGTATGCGTACAATCACCATTGTATTATTAAATATCACGTTAAAGACTCGATTCGATGCTATGTAAAATCGCGTGTGCTTGCTTTCACATCGAAGCAAGCGTTCACACGCCTTAATCCGTTGGATGAAAGACGAATCTTTGTTCGAAAATGCTATATGCTGATTAAGACACACATTACAAGAAAAAAAAAAAGGACTAACATTTTCAGATGGTTCAGTAAACGTTGCTTTCGGATTTTTTTTTGCATCCGAAAATCCTCATTGCCGAAAAAAAATGAAAAATAAAAAAATACATAGTCCGCAAAGCTTTTCAAGAACATATATTTCCTCAGATGTCTGTGCGTGGATTACTCCCGCTCCGTAATCGATGAGAGAGAGAGAGAGAGAATACGAATCGACCGCCCCGCGCGGTCGTTATCACGACGCGCGACGACACCAAACCGCGTCATCGACGACGACGATGATGGCACATTTGCGCATTTGTGGGTGTGTGTACGTACGCTTCTCTCGGTCGATGATGATTCGAAGGACGTCTCCGGTGCTCGGAAGAATGCGACACGTGCTTTATTAGTGCAGCCACAAGTAGATAAGTAGCAGCGAGAGAGACTGAAACGGAACGACGCAAGGACTTCGACGAATCCTTATCTTCTATTTCTCGAACGAGAAAAATTCAAACAATAGCCACTTTCAACTTGGTCGCGCTTTGTACCTTGGCGACGAAATATAAACGCGCAGATGATAAAAGTAATTCAATAAATTTATGTCTTGGCCAATTTGAGAGATATGTCAGATATGCAAAAAAAAAAAAAAATAAGTTCCGTTCGTTAAAGACTAATTTTAAAACTGTAAAATTTGTGGATAAAATACTTCAGAAACGTTTTTGTCAACAAGTAACGTTCGTAAAAATGTAACATTGTAAAAACTAAATTACCTGCAACAACAAAAACTAATATGTCAAGTGAAAAACAATTGCGATGTCAATTGGTACATAAAATAATCGCGGAAGCCAGTTGCGTTCGTTCCTTTGACAAGTAAATTAGAAGTAGTACAGTAAATCAGAAGTAGTAGAGAAGAAGAGTGTAAACATCTCCGTATATACATATATAAAAACAGATATACAGAATCGCATACATTCATATATAGATGTACACACACGCGCAACATATATATATATATATATATGTAAATAATATATATATATGTATCGAGAATAGTAATAGATATCGAAAGTACGAGCATAGACAGCGAATAATTTATGCATGGGAAGAGAACATGGAAAGCTGCAGAATGCAGATAGATATTTCTTTTTTTTTTTTTTCTTTTTTTTTTCACGGTCGTGGCACGCGCGAACGCACGCATGTACACACGCAACAGCGTTGAGTGTACACGCGAACAACAAAAACGGAAATGTTGAATCAATATGTAGCGCGAGACCGGAAAGTACTCACATGTGTCGTCATTTTCTTTTCACGATGCACAAAAAGAACAAGAAAAGTGAAGAATTTCATCTACAAAGTCACACATTTCTCGTGTTACTTTGAGAAAAATTTTTCAGAATATTTTTCCACAGTTTTATCCGTGAGTTTTTCTTCCTGAAAACTTTTTTTATATATCACCACCAAAAAGCTAACTAAACTCGAACTATTTTAAGCTTTCGACTCGAAGATCCTTTGTGAAAAAAAATCGCCAAGTTTCATTCATTCTATAAATGATAAATTTGTAAAATTTTTTCTAAAAGAAATTCTAAATAAAAATTTTAATACTCCAATTCCGCGGAAATTCGATTTTTGAATTTTCAATCTCGAATATAAATTTTCACGTTTCGAAAGATTTTTTTTGTTTGTCAAAAATCTGCCTGAAAAAATTACATTTTTTTTTTTACTCTTTTATACGTACGTTCGGTACGCGCCACGCCGTCTCTTGGAGCGCGTCGATGCGTCGTCTTACAAATTCCTTTTCGCGCGAGGAAACGCTCTTGCGCGATCTACATCTGTTCTCCCCCGATCTGTTCAATCTTCGTTTTATTTTTTTCTCGCGATTTCAAACTCGCAGGCACCCCAACAATTCCTACCCTCCCCACTTCCATTTCGGAGTACGAATTCTCTTCGGTCGTTTTGTCGCGGCGCGCGATCGACATTTTCTTTTTTCCCGCTTTTTTTTTTTTTTTTTTTTACGCTCGCACGGATCGCAACACGCTCTCGGAATCGTCGCCTTTCCGTGACGCCAGAGCTGGATAAAATACTACTTCGAAAACGCAAACATCAGCCCGCTCTTCGGTTCATCACCTGTACATGTGTCTTGCTTCTTCCTTGACCCTCGAAGCTTTCTCTTTCTTCTTCCCTGTGCGACCTGGGAACTCCACAGGAGTGTTCTCTCTCCGCCGGCGTGTAATCTCGCAAAGCGGAATCGGCGCGCTCGCAAGAACAACGCTCTATAACCAGCCAAGTGGCGCTACACATTTCGCGCTCGTCAGCATGTTTCGTTTTTTTTTACCTCAAACATTCTCGCGGCGTTTCATGTACTATTTAAGAACGTAAAATAATAATTCGCAGAGACATGTAACGTTAAATGATGAATATGGGACAAATATTAAAGTATCAAAATATTTAAAATATTAAAAAAACAAAACAGAGATACACGTACAAAATTTTAATATCTTCAAATTTAATAAAAAATCAAAATATCCAGAATTTCTGCAAATTAAATATGATCGGTTTTTTGTTGAAGAGCACTGTCCACACATTTCTGCTGATTAGTCCAAGACAAATGCAAATTTCTCGGAAATGAAATTAAAAATCGTAAGAGTCGCCACTTGACCCGTTAAAAATCGAAATAGTACTTTGCCCACCTCTCTCTGGCGCGATTAATTTTCTCTGCTCTAGTATTTTCTTTTCTTTTTATTAAATTTTTTTTTTTTTTTTTTTTCAAGATTTTTTTTCGAAGTAGAACTCCAAGCAAGCAGTGGCGCCCGTCTTGCCGCAGTAGCGCGCAACGATTCGTCGGTGAAAATCGTTCCTAGTTTACGAGATAGACGGAAAAAGTTCGGGAGTCAAGATATAAAACGGAGAAAACACTAAGGGAGAAGGTTTTGACAAAAAAGGTTTACTATACAGTGATTCGGAATTCGATTCGGAAGGGAATGGTGCATCGACGCGGGATCTCGAGGACGATCGAGAAAGGATCGTGGGAATAATGCGCGAAAGGAAGGACCCAAATGCCGAAAAGGACAGACTCACCTCCTCGCATAGCGCCAGCATACGCCTCGTGCTCTCCAGGGACTGAAACAAACCCGATCACGCCGATTACACATCGTGTGGCCGATGATGGTTCGAGACTGTGTGCGACTTATCACAAAAAAAAACAATCTTTCTTATCGCACATAAGTTGCATGTATTGTGCCATTTTTCTGTTTTGGAAAAATATAAATCATGTTATATTGTTATATGATAAAATTTAGACAAGTAATTGTGAACAACGAGTAGATTTTGTGGAAAACAGAGATTGAATCTCGACGAAGCGTAAACACATGTGTCTTGTCGTCGTAAATAAAACGCGGAGATTACTGTACGACCGTGACAACAAAAGACTTAGAGGGATTTAGCACTGCAAGAGGGGAGCGAAAATCTTCGTAACTGTCGCGTTATTTCACGTGCATATGTATATGTACATATGTACACGTATGAATGTTATTACAACACTTACCTCATCCGTAGTCTGATCGGCCTTGAGCTGTAACTCCTGCAGTTCGGTGCGGGGCGGGCCGGCCTCGGCGGCCGCACCCGCCGCTGACGTCGGTGCAGGCATCGCCGGCTGGTGATCGGGTGCCCGATGAGACTAGATACCGGGCGTCAGCCTTCCTTCTCCTTGGCGAACCGGCGACGGTGTGACACCGCTTCCCAATATATTGTTGAAACCAAAGCCGAGGCGAGTCGATAGCCTGCAACACATACGATCGACAAAAAAATCAGAACAGATTCACCAGAGCGCGAGAAGGGTGTATGTAATAAAAGTACAATGTTGTCACTCCCGAGAGAGTATCTCTACTTATATCTCGCGGAAAAACAAACAGGATGTCGTTCTTTTACCGGGCGAAAACGGACAAACAGTTATCCTCGTGGAGTCGCGTCTCGTCGGTGACCACCCTCTCCCTCCGAAGATGACGAGGAGTAGGGTGGGAGTGACAACGTCGTGTCAAAAGGCACCGTCCGCGAGAAAGACCGAGGAGCACAGCAAACGAATGAACGGGCGTTTCAGTTTTTCGAACTTGTCGCCGCGACGATCTCTTCGCGCGAATCGGAGCCGGAGGCTGAGCCGCTCTCGTTAACAAACGCCGAGAAGAGACTTTGCGGAATTCCGCGAGCGGACTCGCAGTCGCGCCACGATGTGCCGGCCGTCGGAGCGAGTGTGCGTGTGTCGCGAGTTCGTATAGACGTATGTGTGCATGCGTGCATCATCTAGCGCGTGTGCGCGGCTGCACACTTACACACGTCCTCCCTCTACCCCGGTGCGAAAAATCAATACCCCCGACCGACCAACCCATCGAGACGACGCGCAGACGCGACGCGACGCGACGCAACGCGGCGGCGTCGTCGTCGTCGTCGTCGTCGTCATCGTCCGTTTTCGTCCTCCTCCGTCCGGTGGTTCTACCACCAATAGACGTGGCCGGCAAACGATTAGAACAAACGATCAGCTGGTCGCGTCTGGGTGCGGGCAGGTCAGGAAACAGAAGCGTATTTTTCACCGAAAATTTATGTCTCGGTAAAAAGCGATATGAGATACAAATGAATTTATAATGACTTTTTAGATGATAAAAGTGTGTCTCGTTAAAAATTCATTTTTATCCTATCAAGAATGTCAGAAGGAAATGAGGGTAGAATACTCTACTGATAAAGCCTTCTTTCCTTCTTTCAAATTTTATGATTTTGACGTCCATTGTGAATAAGACGTCAAGTTCACGCTTGGCCACTCATGGTTTGCAAAAAGAGCAAGTAGTAATTATAAATCGTGCGTAATTTTACGAAGATCTGATTTACATAAAAACTTAAATTTTTTTGTCGCAAAGACTTTGTCACAAAACTGTTATAATAAAAAAATAAAGAAATAAAATTTTACAAAATAAAAAATATCGCTGAAAATGATGGCGGAAAATAATGGCGATCCCCGTTCTTAAGTAGGATATCATATATATATATATATATATATATATATATATATATCTATTGCTTTAAGTACACCAGAAACAGACGTAACAAACGTTGACGTGATATAGTAGTGGTGGAGCTCTGTCCTTGCCCTCGAGCAAATTGGCAGGTTTCCAGGATGAAAGGGTGAAAGGTATTCAACGTTGTTTTGGCGAGTTACGCCAATAAGACGACAAACGACGATCGGAACCCGGACGCGACCGTTTGTCTCGTCGCTGATAAGCGACAAAGCCGGTTAGACAAATTTGAAACGAAAGCTTCATATCTGGGGAATAATTTTTACAAAGTTTGGAACAATCATCCCAACGCGTCGACGTTAATAAAAATTTCAAACAATTAAACGCTTAATTATAAAAACCATTTTCTTCCTTTTCCCTCTGTCATTCATTGTTTTATTTGACAAAACTGCAAATTACACAATTATGAGCGTTGTCGTTGCAATGTGATGAATTTTTTTAAATTAATATTTATATATCAAAAATTTCTTTTCGCACGTGTGTTACATGTGTAATAGTATGTGTCTTTCACGTCTTTTTCATCGATTATTTTTCTGGCAAATTTTTTTCTGTGTTTCGTAAAATGGAAGAAACGTTATTCAACCCTCGATTCTCGACGGAATAATCCCCGAGAGATTACGCGAACGTGATCGTCAGATGATCGCGGCGTCACAATTCCGTCGATGACGTCACAGTTATTTATTTATCCGCCTACAACTCTCCCGTCGTCCACTTTAGAGCGGTAACGAAATACGCAAGTGGAAACGCGAAGAAAATGCCAAATAACATGTGTGTGCGGTCGATCGTGCCGCAGCGTGCCACGGCGATGCGGCGATGATGTTCGCGATATGTGCTTGAACTACCCTTTCCCGCACGTTAGTAGTACGTGGGCACGTATGGCGCGTCAAAACAAACCCCCTCCACCTGGCCCCCCCACCACTTCTGGCGCCATTGCCCCACCACGGTGGATTTCCCCCTCCCTTGGTGGTGACTGNCAGTCACCACCAAGGGAGGGGGAAATCCACCGTGGTGGGGCAATGGCGCCAGAAGTGGTGGGGGGGCCAGGTGGAGGGGGTTTGTTTTGACGCGCCATACGTGCCCACGTACTACTCACGTTGAAAAAGATTCGCCCGGTGCACAAATATATATGGACATACAGAAATAGAAGAAGACCGTGGCCGACGAGATAAACTTTATCATGGCTGGCTGTATTCATCGGCTGTGCGCGAACGTAAATGTAATAATAAAACAGATGTTTTTATATTGACGACAATTGTGCATTCAAATTTGATTGAATTTGTGTAAATGTTTGTTGAAAAAAAAAAAAAAAAAAAATTGCGAAACAATATATTTTACTATAAAATAAATAATAAAATACAAGTTTTGGAATTTAAAAAATCTGCATTGCGACGATATGCTCACAATTGCAACTTTTTTTACTCGTGACGTTTGTTTTCCGCAATGAATGCTCGGAAAATGTTTGTTTGAGATAAATCACTTTGTTAACAATTGTTTTTTTTTCTTTCTTTACCGGTTGACAAACAATGAAAGTTTACATATACAACATATTACACGCAATCATCTTCCTTTTTCTATTGCGCAATATTACTACATTTGCGAAGGTGAAATTGTGATCTAATCGCAATGTGTGCAGCAGTTTGTCACGCGCTCTTGATACAATCGGAGCATAAAGAATTACATATTGTTTGTTCCGCACAGTTTACGTCAGTTGTGCATATTGTTCCGCACGGTTTAGCCGGCTGTATGCTCTTCTTCTCTTCTTATTTTACATTTAATTTTCTTTTCGTGCAAAGTCAAAATATTTCGACTATCACTTGATTTCTTTCTCCGTCTTTTTTTTTTGAGCGTATTTATTTTTGCGATTGTATTTAAATAAGAGAATTGTTTTTAATGCGATGTATTTATAAATTGATCGATCTCCTAATTATGACTAATATGTGTATTTTTTTCCGGTGATTTAACAAGCAATGTCATCTAGTCGTATTGCGCAACATTATTAAAAATCGAGACTGAGGGAATAAATTTATCCTAAGAAAAGGTCACAAGAGTAAAGTAATTATATCCGCACTCCGCGATTTATGCACTTTGGCATACAACAACTGACTATTGATAATGTGTCGAAAATATATTGCACACTTTTCTGTTATCGTAATATGTACGGAAATATTGCTATTAATACAAGAAAGAGGATAAATGGAAAAATCAATATTTTTATCCATTCATCTATACATGTGCGAGTCACATTCACGTCATCCATATAAAAACAACACGAAAAGTATATAAGAAGCAAAAAAACAATAATCTATAACGGCAAAGTGCGCTCAGATAAGGGAGACAATAGCATTTAGGAAAGTTGCAAAAACGCTTAAAGTGCATTGAAATCAAGAGACCGGTCGTCACAGGACACGCGACAAGAAATGTCAAATGTGAATGAGTTGAGCGCGAGGGTTATTTATCGAAGCACTATGACCTCCTTGATAATACAAAGGATTTAATTAAAAAAAAAAAAAAAAAATATTAAAGAAAAGATTTGCAAAATATATATGTGGTTTATATATTATAACATACATATACCACAATAATTTCTAAAGAAATCTATTCTATATAACCACTAAATCTTTAAAAGATAAATTAAATTCTTTTTCAATATTATATTATGCTCAGAAATTTAAAATATATATAGTTTATTTGAATAAAGTTCTGAAAATATAAATTATGATCTTTATATTGATATAGAAATTATAAACAAAAAGAAATCTCCGAGCACACATACAATACTCGATCAACGAAATTTGCAAATCAATATAAATAAATAAAAACAAAAACAAATCAAAACGATTTAATATTATAATAACAAAAATATCTGTAGAACAAACTTATCTATAGAAATAAAATTTTAAGATATCTCGATTAATACATATAAATATTCTAGTTCGTTGTAAAAGTCTATATCAAGTCAAAGTAATTGTAAAAAATTTTCAAAATAAGACCGAAAAACCTATAGTATATTACTCCTTTTTTTATTTTAGTTATTTACTGTATCCCTATCGCGCGTCTCAATCCCGCCGAAATCCGGCGGTCGATTACGACCGGCATTCATCCGCATAGAAAGATGGTGCATTACGTTCCATATATATATATATATATATACGTATCTGATTTAACTTTTATACACGGCTCTCGGAAAAGCATATTATTAATTGCCGGCGCCCAACGCGAGGCTGAATTACACTCACTAACCTTGAGGCAAATCGATAACAAACTAGGCTGCTCTGTCTCCCGACGGTACGTCTTGCACGATGCGAGCGATGCTGATAACGGCTGAAGGAGACACCGGCTGTCACTGACACCGCTGACAACTGCTACGTGCGCCCGATGAGAAGCACTAAAGTGAGAAAGCGATCTCGAGTCACGTCACACGCACACCCATGCATACTTCACGCACACACACGCCATGTACGCACATACACACCGTTCACCATGAAGCACGTCCGACCGCGAATCGACGAATGAGCGTTGCAAAACGCGGCGCGGAGCTGTTAACAGGGCGGTCACGTGATAGACCAATGACGCGGACCAATAGGAGACCGAGGTGCGCGGCACCGCTGCGCGTGTCACGGCGCGGGAAATCGGCCGTTTCGAACGTCACATTGCGTCGCGATTACAAGAATCGTTCAGATTCTTTCTTACATTTTCGCAATCAAAATCAAATTGATTGTATGTTCACATCAGTAAAAATAGAAGAAGTATTTATATAAAAAATAAATACTTCTGGTAAACATATATGTAATAAATTAATTTGTAAAATTACTGGAATGTGATAAATATTAAGATAAACGTTTTTACTACTTATAAAAAATTAAATGTTTGCAGTTTAGTTACGAGAAATATATAACTATGTGAAAGTAGAAAATGAATTGTAAATTGTATTTTTTTTGTTTCATTTGAACAAAGTGAATTTGCTTATAGAACATATTTCGCAATATGTGCGCGTATTATTATTCTGCAAACATAATTTTCGATCAAATCTTGCTTTTTTTTTAATTTTCAGTGTACTTTGTAAAGTAAAATCCACACTATAATTTTTAATTGCGCATGCGCACGTCGCTAAGTCACCTTCTCACACAGAGATCTAACCTTATAAATATTACTATATTTACACAACACCGTCTTCTTATATACATGACGCAATGAAAAGAAACAGCACTTTAAGCTACCGCAAACCTTGTGATCCTAAGATAACACAAACACACAGCTTTCTCTCATTCGGAATTTAAATAAAATCACGTACATTCAACCGCTCGGAGTTTTTGTTTTACAGTTTTTTTTTTTTACTGTTCCCGAACCTGTGCGAGTTGTCCGTAATATCGGTCCGCACGATACGTGTCGAGAAGGCGGAAAATCGATACGACCCCGCTTTGATACGCAACGTGCGCTGCATTGGAATCGCCGTGACGTTTCGAGATGTAAAAAAAAAAAAATCAGAGATGAGAATTAAGCAATATTGTATACACTTACCGCCGGGAAATAAAATCTCAAAACGAGTTTCTCGGAGAGCGTCGAGAATTCCTTCGCACCTCTCGTCTTTGATAATTCTCGATGAAAGCAATTGACAGATACGATCGACGCACCGCGGCGAGCAACCCGCTCCAACTGACAACCGGAAGTCGGCCGCGGAAGCCGCCACCGCCGACCATAGACGTATAATATGTAGACTGCGCGTTCCCTACCTTTGCCATGTTAAGAAAATGTCTTCAACATGGAGAGAGAGACAGCTGGTGTTGAATAGTAGCCTCATCTTTGTCTAGCGAAGTAGTGGGGAAAATGATAGACAGAGAAAGAGT